CTTCCAGCAAGGAAGCCTGTGGATGCGTAAGAGCCCCACCTTTATGGCAACTATTTGTGATGCCAAAAATGAGGAGGGTCTCAGGGGACCTGTACTCTCATTTGTATCCTCTTTGGACCCAATAGACGGAGCCCCAAATCTTTTTTAACCTTCTTTTAAGTCTGGAAGGGGCCGCGGGCCATTAAACATTCCTTTAATTCTGGAAATGGGGAGAGAAGGGTGAATATGGCTATGGAGTAAGGATGTTATCACCCGGCACGGCTGGTGGTCAGGCTTCATGCTCAAAATTGCCCAATTAAAGAAATAAAAAATGTAAGCTCTGTCGGGAAAAAATGCAAATAAGGTGGCTCGGGGTTAAGATTTTGAGTGGTTTGCTGGTTAAAATTATGCACTTGTTTATGGGGGAAATGGATTTAAAAAAAAATCTATATACAGTTGGACGAATTAGGCAACCATCTATTATGTAATTGAACAACAACGTAATCCATCATCACGGTGGCGAGGGCAGCCAAAGCCATCGCAAATTCAGGGGACTCCTGCTCTTTCATTCTTTCTACTTTAGCTATTGGAAGAGCAAGAGTTTTGGGGAGTTGTCTCTTTTTGTTTTGGAGGGTGATATCTAACAGTGCTTTCTTGCAAATTTTAATTTGGGGGGGGATGGGGTGGGGCTCCAGGAGCTCGGGCAGGACTAGGGGGTATGTGTGTTCGTGGGCCCGCCCCTGCATGAACTTGCACCGGGCACATCCCAAAAGGATATTGATAGTGGATGTCATGGTGCACCCCGGAACCCTCTTCAGAACTGGGGTGCCTATTCACTTAGCGGCTGGCGCTGTCGGCTGTTGGAGGCTCACAACCGAGAACTGCCCTCAGCCAAAGGGAGCTGCCTTGTTGGACTGTGTGCCCCATCCCCGTGGCATTCTGCATGTGATGGCTGGTCCATGATATGGTGCGGGGGGCGGGGGGGTAGGGGTGGTGCGGGAAGGAACCTCAGCCTCCTGCCTGGATTCAGAATGACCCTGGGGGCCGTCCAGCTCCAGAGCTCACTGTGGGATCAGCAGAAGCCTCTGTTGTGGCGGCACCACAGCTCGACCTCTCCCTCTGCCCCGCTGCCCCCTGCCCCCCTCACACCCCTCCCAGCATGGATCGGAGCGCTGCCCTGGAAACCTCCTGCAGGCAGACCTCCCAGGGTCCATCCAAGAAAACTGCCCGCGGGCCACATGTCCCCTCTTCATTTCAAGGGGGCGGGAAGTGAGAACTGGCCAACACATCACAGATCCGCTGTTGTGGGATCACAAAGGCACTTGATTTGACGACGCAGTCCCCAAAGTTTCTGGAAACGGGGCTGGTTTCCTCAGGACCTGAGAGCGCTCAACTCTACCACCCATTTAGGCAAATGACTTAGACTTTCTCTGTTTCTTTATGCATTTAATAGTCTAAGTCTCCCATAGGGCTGTTCATGAGAGGGAATGAAGAAATTGAGACAAAGCGTCCAGGGCAAAGTTTATGAACTCAAGAAACGTTAGCTTTTGGTAGTGGCAGAGTGGAGTGGCCTCCCAGCACCGTGACATGGGGTGAAAAATGTTACCCTCTCTGCGACTACACTTGCTCACCTACAAGATGCAGGGATGCCGCCCATTTTCTATGCGGATTCTGGAGGCAGAAGAGAATGTATGCAAAGGGCGTGTGGTACTAACAGAAAGTCAGTCGTTAACTATTGTTGTTATTTTGAGGAAGTTTCTCTTTGATCGAGGGTCCCAAATGCACAGCAGCGAACCCGTGGGCCCGCGGAGAGGTTATGTGGATTGTTCCGTATAGACAGCCCCAGACGGAATGGGTCCCAGCTTTCTCACCGATGGTGGGAAGTTCCCCTGTGTCTCTGCCTGCCCAGTTATTTGTTGTTTGTTTCCAAGCAGGGAAATAATACGTGGAACTTGGCCACCGTAGGCTGGAGTCTCACCATTTTCTGGGAATCACCTCATGCCAGGATCTGCAACCTGAGTGCCGGGTCCAGAACAGGGAGCCCTGCCAGGCCACAGACAAAGGCCCCTTTGGTCTCTGAGCTGGCGTTAGCCACTGCCTTGGCTGGGTGTCCGCCGATGGCATTCAGGTGTCATGTGACCATCCCTCCTTAGAGATCTCCAGATAGAGCCTTGGGCCATTTCTGGGCATCAAGTCCCATCCATGACTTTGTGAGGATATAAGAAAAATCACATTTTCACGATAAAATACCTCCACGGACTGAGTCAATACCAAAGAAACCTGCCCTACTCCAAGGGATGAAGCCAGTGTTGTGGTACCATAGAAAAAGCCCCAAGCTTGGTCTTCTCTGGTGACGTGGGCCCAGGGATGGCTGGTTTTAGGGAAAACAATCACTTTAGTTCACATAAAAAGCAGGGATCCTATTAGGAGTATCCAGGGGCTGCTCTTGGGACTCAGTTGCAGGAAGTTCAGCCTGGCCTCACGGTAAGTGGGAAGTCACCCCCTCTCCCGGGCCCCTAGGACAGCTGTCCCTACAGCTCCTCAGATCACCTGCTCAGCTCATCTCCCCACACAAGAATTGGCCTGCCTGGCCTTCTTTCTGCTCCGCCTTATTTCATTTGCCCATGGCTTTGGCTGACCTTGGTCATGATTCCACACTTGACACTCTCCGCTCCTCCTAGCCCCTTGGCACAGTCGAGACCAATGATCACCTTGTTTAAACCCCGAGGAAAGAGAATCTGATTGGTTTAACTTGGCTCAGGTGTTAGCTCCTGGTCTGATCCCCTGTGATCAGGGGAAATGATCCCATGAAGACGTCACAGCTGTGCCTTCTGGAGCTGTGGACAGAGCTGTGCCTTCTGGAGCTGTGGACTATGTCCTCTAGTCAGGGGACATAGCTGGAAAAGAAATCACGAATATTTGGAAAGATTGGTTCAGCTTTCTGGGTCTTACTTTCCCCAACTGTGAAATAATACTAATTGTTATTATATTGGTCATTAAATGTCAGATGTAACCAGTTTACATATGGAAACCAATTGACCTCCACACCCCCACTCCTGTACCTGTTCAGTTCTCTGGGGGCACAATATGATAATCCCCACCCGCAGCTCATAGGATAAAGGAAGGCCATTCTTCAAGGAAGTTCTCTCGGGTATTTCTGGGAACCCTGAGGAACGTGTGTGCATTCCAGAAGTCCATCCAAGGTGGTGGGTTGCCATCCCTCCCAGCCTCCTTGTTCTGCGTGATTGCTTCTTTTGAGCTCAGATGGGAATCTCTTGTCATCGTGTTGACACTCACCCTTGTATATCTTTATCCCTAACATGGATGTGAATTTCTTCCTTCTGTCCCCAAAGCATAGCTAAAAGAGAATGGAGATGATATTTACTGCACCCCCCTCCAGCTTTATTGAGTTAGGACTGACAAACACAAATTGTATATATTTAAGTTGTACGACATAATTTTTGTTTTGATGGAATGTTTGTGGACAACAGAACTTAACAAAAAGACAAAGCTTGGCCTGGTGTACCTTCTACTGGGACTTCATGAGGCTAGAGGACCCAAAAGGCATCCTGAGAACATTTCTGCTGGGGGATTCAGGCCACTCTCAGGGAGGGGAAGAACTTCATCCCTTCTAGCTTGAAATGCACCTCATCCCTTCGCCAGGATTCAGCCCAACTCCCAGGAAGCCTGACGGTGGGAACTGCCATCACCTCTGGAAGAAATGCCCATTCCCACCTGTCAGGTTGCTGTCTGAGCCAATCACGATCATCACCGACCTTTCCGGATTCGCCGGGTCTGGCTTCTTCAGCATAAATAGCCCCACAGGAGCAACTCAATGGCCTGGGACCAGCTTTGGGGGCCAAGACTGCCTCTCCCTTCTTGCGGGGGTAGATCTTGGCACTCGATCACTTGTGAGCTCATTTTTGGTCAAAAAAACAAACTAATCTCCCAAGAATATACAGGGATTTTTTTTCAAGTCTTGGACACTGAAGTTCCAAGTTTTACAGAAAAAGAATTTCTAACTTTGGGATTCATCTGGAGAGTCTCCAGCTGACATTTGTAAATGGTATACATTAGGATGAGAACTGGCCTTACCAGTAGGACCAAAGAGGCTCAGCGATGTGGCCCTTCCTTAAACAAAGGGACTGTCTGTTCCAAAGACAAATTCATTTTTCCCCTTCATAAACTACAGAGACTGTCTGAAATTCCCAAAATGGACGCTTTCCAACCCCAAATATTTAGAGCCCCAGTCTCTTCCAAGCACCTTGTTCTAATAAATTACTTTCTTTGCTGCTCCCAGCCGCTTTATGAGGTAAGGTATTACTTCCCTTATTTTACAAATGAGGAAACTGAGGCTCAGAGATGTGTGATAATTGACCTAAGGCTAATAAATTGCAGGGTGGGATTCAAACCCAGCTTGGACTTTTGTCCTACCTCACCCTGTCCCAGGACCCTTTTCCAGTTCCAATATTCTGAATCCACGGTCCTTGTGGCCCTGGGAAGCTCTTGAGCCTGGCATGCGGGAAGGCGGGCTGTGGTCCCCAAGAGGGGAAGCCAAAGGACAGCCCAGGCAACCTACTTTGCAGTGTCCGAGGCAAAATGGAAAGGTGGGCTTTTGTTCAGAAGTCATTAAGAATTCAAGACCACCACAGCAGAGAGTTAAACCCAGCAAAGGTCCCTGTGAGCCTTGGGTCACGTGCAGGTCACAGGCCTGCGGACCTGGCAGCCTGGATGTGTCCCCTTACTCCTGGGAGGAGTACCGGCCACAGGGTGACCTGGTGCTGGAGGAAAGCAGGCTGGTTTCTTTTCCTTTTTCTTTCTTTTTTTTTTTTTTTTTAAGTTTACTGTTTATTTTTGAGAGAGAGGGCAAATGGAGGAGGGGCAGAGAGAGAGAGAGAGAGAAGGAGACATAGAATCCAAAGCAGGCTCCGGGCTCTGAGCTGTCTTCGCGGAGCCCGATGCCGAGCTGGAACCCACGAACCGCGAGATCACGACCTGAGCGGAAGTTGGATGGCCGCTCGCTGGCGAGCCTCCCCAACCTGCTCCCGGGGTCACGTGGTCTGCTCCCGGGGTCACGTGGTCCGCTCCCGGAAGAAAGCAGGGGCCTGAGAGGCTGTGTGCGCCAGAGGTTTGCGGTTTAGCTCTTTTCATTCCTGCCGTGTTGTCGCTGTTTCGAACGCTTCGTGTGGCTTTGGAGGCAATGGCTTGAGCCTTGATAAGATACAGAGAAATCGGAGGCAAGGAGGCCTGGTGGTAAATATGGAGCTTTTATTTGGCGCCGCAGGTGTCCCTCGGTCCTGCCTGCTCCCGGGGCAGGCACGCCTGTGGGGCCCAGATGACCTGGAGCGGGGATGGCCAGAGAGCTGTGCTTGGAGCCCAGCTGCGGAATAACACTTGGAAACCTAAAACCCAGGGTGGAAAGTGAGAGAGAAACAGAGAAAAACAAATCCCCGACTCACCCACCTGAATGAAGGAGGAGTCGACAGAGGACACGGCTGTAGGATTGTAAGTGGTCGGCAAGCCCTGCTGGCAGATGGGATTCACCCAGTTGGTTCCCCCAGAGACAGGCATTTGGGCACTTGTCTGGGTCTCCTCAGGAGGCACGGGTTCCCAGGGGGGTTTGGTTCCAGCTGAAGCCTCCCCAGTTCTCAGGTGACAGGTGTTTGACCTACACCTCTTGAAAGCCCGCTTCTGGCCTTGTGACTCTTTCAGGGTCTCTGGTATCCTGTGGGCAGCCTGGCGGCTAGCCTTGGGGATACAGTGGCTAACAGTCAGGTGTGGGCCCTGCCCTCCTACAATTCTCAGTTGGAGGGAGAGCCAGAAAAATGAGCAGGCAGGTGGACAGACAGGGGAGAGGAGGGGAGCCTCACCTCGAGGAAGCCTCTCCCTGCGAAAGCATTATACCCGTAGAAATCTGAAAGAGGAGTAGAATTTATCCAGGTGTTGGAGATGGTGGGGGTGAGGGGGGATTCTGGGCTGAAGGGAAAGCATGCGCAAAGGTCAGGAAGTAAGAAAGAGGATGTTGTATTTGCATGGTGGGCATGACCGCTAGGAGAGACCTTCCTAGCAACAAACGTTAGTTGAGTGCCACTACGTGCTTCGGTAATAGTGAGCCAGCCCGCAGAATGGGTTGTGCCACTCTCCAGTACTTGCTCTTCCAATGGTAGACCCTTATTTCTCTGTCCTCCTGCTTCTTCCTCATACAGCTCATACATCGACTGGCTCCCTTCCTTGGGTTTATTCCATGTATTAGCGGAATACCAATAACATTGGAAGAAGCAAGAAAGATGGACATGAATTTCACTTTCAAGAGGTTGCCCAAGAGCAAGCAGCTGGTTGATGAGATGGCTCCATAGAGGTAAGGCCTCAGAATCTTGACCTCTTGTTTCTCCACCGTCCCTGAGGAGTTGTTCTTGAATGCATGCTCCAAAATGGCCCTCTGTCATGTCAAATTTCGATGAGGTAAGATAGACAGAGGAACACACACTCTTTTCTTTTAAGGCTGTGGCGTGGAAGTCACGGACATCGTCTCTGCTCGCATGCCATTGGTCAGCACTCAGTCATGTGACCACCCCTAGAGGCAGGGCAGTCTGGGAAATGTAGTCAAGGTGGCTCCCGTTTTCAGAGAAAGCTCAGGGGTAAATGGATCTTCAGATGACTAGCCGTCTCTATTCTGTTCTGTTTCTAGTTTGTGATCTTGGAGATGTGTCTTCGCAGACTAACGTTACAGTGATGATTCCTGTTTGGTTTAGCCCTGAGCTCCCCATCTCTCATGTGGACACTAGAAAGGCAGAGAACATCAATGTTGGAAAGCTAAATATCATCCTGTGCCCAAGCTAAAACTTACAATAGACAAGTCAGGGGGTAAAACATTTGTTGGATGTTTTAAATCAATAAAAATTTCTCCTCTAAGGGTCGAGCAAGGGAGGTCTACTCACTTCACTGAGAGGAGTTTTGTGATGAGATTAAATGCAAAATCAGTCCTCATTTGGGCCTTAAAAGCTCTCCGTTGAGAAGAGACAACGAAGGCAATGGACTTGCCCACAGCCCTTAATCAAGGCCCGGCCTGAGTTCCGCAGGCTTTGTTGTTTCGAAAGGCGAGGGTGAAGAAAAATGATGGGTTGACAAGGAACGCTGGTGGGAGTGGATGTGTTCCCTCAAAAGAAGGGAGTGTGAGAGATGGGCTATCCCTGAGTAAGTGGGTTCAACCAGACAGATGATCCAGATAATCCAATAAAACGCTTCGCGTTTTTGTGACTAACCCAACTGTCATAGTCCACGTCCAGGAGCTCAAACCATCAAAAGGTGATTCTGAGTCTTGTGTTCACTTTCTGGTTTGCCTGGAATTAAGTTTTCATCTCAGCCCTATCTCCAAGCTGCCTACTCATGTTCCAGACAATAACACCCTAAGTAAGAAGAAATTAAGAAGCGACCACGGTCATTTCACACACTCCAGAGCCCAATGCTTATAATTTGGGGTTTATTGGCTGTTGTGGATTGTGCATGTCTCACGATTCCTGGCCCTCCTAGTCATGCTAGGTAGCATGGAGATTGTTTGTGTACGTGTGTGTGGCTCAGATTGAGAGGATTGGGGAACGAGGCTCCATCCCAGTCCTGGTTTGTTGAATTCATTCTGCTGACCAAGCTTGACTATGGCTCTTTTGGTTAATCCATGTCTCCATTGTCAGCGGCATAACTTAGCAGAATGCCATGTTTCTGTCATGTTTGCCTGCCTTCTGGCTGTGACGCCAACCTCCCCCTCCTCCCCCTTCCCTCCAAGAGTCCATTGCAACCTTTAAAAACGGAAGGAGTGCTTCTCAGAGGCTGCAGGGAGTCAACCACACCACAAAAATGAACGATATGGGACCATTGGCAATTTCTTGTCAAGTAAACCTACATTTGCCTCTCAACCCAGAAGTTATACTCTTGGATATTCATCCCAGAGAACCAAAAACTTCGGTTTAGACAAAAACCTGTCCCTGAACTTATCAGCTTTTAGTCAATAATCGCCTGAGACTAGAAACAATCCAAATGCCCTCCAATGGGTCAATGGTTAAATGCTCTCTCTTACATCCACACAGCAGAACGCTCCTCAGCAATGAAAAGGAACAAACTTTTGAGATATACAATGTATTAGTCTTGTTGGGGTTGCTGTAATAAAGTACCACAGGACTGAGTAGTTTAACAACAGAAATCTAGGGCCTTACAGCTCTGGAGACTGGACGTCTGAGATCAAGGCGTTGATAGGGACGTTCTCCTTCTGAAGGTGCTAAGGAAGGAACTGTTCTCACCTGTCTCCTACTTCCTGGCAGTTCCTGGGCTTGGCTCCAATCCTTTATGGTGTTCTCCCCATGTATGTATCCGTGTCTAACTTTCTCCTTTTCATAAGGACATCAGTCATATTGAATGAGGGGCCCACCCTACTCCAGTAGGACCTAATCTTAATATCCACAGCAACCCTACATCCAAATAAGGTCACATTCTGGAGTGTTGGGGGTTAGGGCCTCACCATGTGAATTTGACGGGGACACACTTCAGCTCAACATGTAACAACATGGATAAGGGCATTTTGCTTAGTGAAAAAAGCCAATCTCAAAAGATTGCATGCTGGAGGATTCCATTTACGTTACATACACAAAATGACAAAACTCTGGAGACGGAGAACAGGTCGATGGTTGCCAGGACACAGGGACAGGAGTGGGGGTGGGGGTGAGTCTACAAAGGGTTGCATGAGGGAGTTTCTTTGTGGTGATGGAATAGCCTGGATCCTATTTGGTGGTGGCTGTATGAATCTAGATGAGGGATCACATTGTATTGAACTACATCCTTCTCCCCCCAACATGCAGGAGTGCTTAAGAAAACTGATCAGTACTGAACAAGGTTTGTAGTCTAGTTGACAGGTTTATACCCATGTCAAGTTTCTGGTTTTGATATTGTACTAGTTATACAGAGATGTCGCCATTGGGGGAAGCCGGGTGAAGGGTTCACGGAACTATCCTATCTACCATTCTATGACATGTGCAGTCACCCCACCTTTGTTCTCTGCTTGCAAAATGAGGAGACACGTCCAGGTGACATGGGCAGCGAAGGGCAGAGGTCAGAACACAGATATTCATTCATTTCCCTCCAGACTTTCACCTAAGTTTTGGTTTTCTGGATTTTCAGATTCATGTTAGGTGAGATCTGGGCTGGTAGCCCCTCTCAGGACCTCAGCTTCTTAGATCAGCCATTGCCTGACTCATCCACCCACACCTTTCCTTGAAGTCCTTGTGCCTGGGGAGCACCTCACCTCCAGGACGCCTGGGGGCCCGGCTCCCTCTGCCGGCCTGGGGAGTCTTGTCCGTCCCACCCCCACCCCTGCAGAGAGCAACACCACCCTCCCAAGCCAGATTTGCTCCGGGCCCTCACCTGCATCACCCTCAAGCCCAGAAAGCTGGTTTTGTGGATCCCAAGCTTTGGTTCAGATGACCTGGCTTCAAGGCTGGCTCTGATGCACAAACTTAGGTCAAGTCACTTGTCTCTTTGCCTCGGTTTCCTCAACTGTTCAGAGAGGGTCAATCCTTACTATCTAATTTGGAAGGCTGGAATATCCTAAAACTTAACCATTACAGTTGATGGGAAGGTTTCATGTAAATGCAAAGTTCTCTTTTAATGACCTCAGAATAATTTAATTGTGATTAATTATTAAGCATCTCTCACATATTAAGCGAAAGTAATACCTGTTAATTCTTTCTCTTATTTAAAAAAGTTTTTTTTAACGTTTATTTATTTGTGAGAGGGGGGAGGGGCAGAGAGAGAGGGAGACACAGAATCCAAAGCAGGCTCCAGGCTCCCAGCTGTCAGCACAGAGCCCGACGCGGGGCTCGAACTCACAAACCGTGAGATCATGACCTGAGCCAAAGTCAGATGCTCAACTGACTGACTGAGCCACCCAGGTGCCCCAGTACCTGTTAATTCTTATAAGTGTTATGGACTTCCTGGAACTATACCAAGCATGCCTAGGAGATTGCCTCTCTGACCCTACTCACTCGGACTGCACCTCTAAAAGCTACGGGAATCTTTGTTTCTGAGTTTTGATCCAGGAGATCAGGAACTTTGTTTGCTTTCAAAAGTCCACATCGATCTTTTACCCATGATCCCTGGGGTGGTGGTGTGAGTGAGCTAGGTCGACAGGTCGACAGGCTCTCAAGAACTGATTGTGCCCACCTCTGCCCCGCTCTTAACTTGGTGACGTCATACTGGGGCTTGAAATTGGCCATGGTGAGAGTTTTTATACCACGGAAGTCAATACATGCTACAAATCAGGAGGATGTGTTTGTTTCCCCAGAAGCCTTGGCAGATCCATTGCAAATGGGATTTCTGGAGGCACATTAAGATATCTCTAAATTCCCAACGTGGATGGGAGGATTTGGCCACCAACATAAAATAGTAATCATGCATGCCCTTGACAAATCTGCTCTAGAGTTTGCTATCTGTGTTACCATGTGCAATCACTGTCTTCAGGTCTTCATTCCCTCCTCTGTAAAGGCGAAGATATTGATGGGGTCTACCGCCTACCCTCAAAGCACTTCTCAGGTTAGCTTTTCTTATTGTGCTTTTGGTTGCTACTATTTTTATTATGAGGTTCCTTGTCTCTGTGGGAAGGTAGGTTTTAAGCAGCTGACCATCCCACCTTTCTGAGAGACAATCCAGTATAATGTTGAGAGGACAGACTCTAGAAGTTTCCACCTGCGTTCAAATCCTTACTCTATTACTTATTAGCTGTATAACCTTGAGCAAGTTGCTTAGCCTCTCTGTAGCCCAATTCCTCATATGTTGGGTGGAGATTATAGTAATACCTACTTCTTAGAGTCACTCCAAGGATTACATGACTCAGTGTGTATACAGCACATTAAGCAGTGCCTGACTCAGAGTGAGTACTGTTAGGATTCTGCTATAATTATTCTGAAAGTGATTGTAGTGGATTGAAGATTATCCCCCAAGAATTCGTAACCTCCCCCAGAATGTGACTTTATGTGGAAACACAGTGGCGATACATTCAAGTAGGTAAGATGACAATGTTGGAGTAGGGTGGGTCCCTAATCCAATGTGAGTAGTAAGAAGAGACAGGACACAGAGACAGACAAAAAGACACACACACACACACACACACACACACACACAGAAATGATGCAAAGGTACATAGGGAGAACAGCATGTGATGATAGAGGCAGAGATTAGCTTGGTGCCACCACAAGGAAGGCCAGCATTGTTGGCAAGAGCCAGGAGCTAGGAAGGGGCAAGGAAGGGTGCCCCCCTAGAGCCATCAGAGAGCAAATGACCTTGTCTACACTGTGATTTTGGACTTCTAGCCTCAAT